GGTTGGGGGATTTAAAATTAATAACACAGTTAAGCTCACTTCTGGGTAATTGATAAAATGAGAGACTATTTTCTATGTATGTATGTGTCAGGGTGCACATGCCCATGGCAGTCAAGGACTTCCTCCGGTGTCTTTCTTCATGTGGCATCCACCTTGGTTTTGGTGACAGCCTCCCACTGGCCTAGACATCACCATGCAGGCTATTCTTGTTGTTCAGGAGGCCTGGGGGAATCTGCCTGCCATTGCTTCCCAATCACTAAAATTGCAAGTATGTCTCCATTTGTTGTTTGTTTGTTTGCCTTTTAAATGTGGGCTCTGGGAATCAGACTAAGGTCCTCCTACCTGTGTACTGTGCAGCAAGCACTTTGGCAACAGAGCTCTCCCAGCCTGAGAGTATATCTTCTCATGAGGCAAAATATAGTGACTTCAAATAACAAATAGCTTCCTGTGGTGAATTTCCCTTTGTTTCTGAACCTAATCTGCCAGCCAACCCAACTGAGGCATGCCACTCAGTTAAGTAACCAGTTGCCTACCAATCAGACCAACTTCCAACATGTTGCTTCCTAGAAGCTACGGATGTCTAGAGGTAGTGAAGGTGTGAGGTGAGAGTGCAGGCCTTTAAGTAGCTTCTCCAAACAGCTGAAGAGCTGGCAGGACCAGACAGCACGGGGAATCTCTTAGTGCCATGACTAGAAAGCAGGCACCCGAAGGGCCGAGGACATAAACAGAAAAGCATAGTTCTTCTTGAAAGTCTAAGAGGACATTCTCTCTCTCTCTCTCTCTCTGTGTACACATGTATCTGTCCCTGTGGGGAGGAAGGGCATTTGCAAGTGTGCTTATGTGTGAAGGACAGAATTTGACCTTAGGTCTTCTTTCAGTTTTCTCCAGCTTTGTTTTTGAGTCTCACAGAGAACCTGAAGTTTCTGGATCCCACTAGACTCCCTGCCAGCATGCCACGGGATCTTCTAGTCTCTTCCTCCTCAATGCACGCTGCTGCATAATGTCTTCTGTTTGGATGCTGGGGATCAGAGCTCATGCCGTGCCCCTACCTAGATGTTCTTTTTAAAGTACTGTCTTTTCTTCCTACGAGTAGGTCAAGATAGGTCTTGGGCCGTTTTGTATTGCCAATGCTATATATCAACAGCTGGGTAAGATTTAAAAAGAGCTTTACTTTGTTTATGGAAGCCTAAACCCAGGCGATGGGTGGCCTTCTTTAGAGTCTCAAGGCTGTCAGTGTGTGGCACCGTGGATCAGGAAACAGATGCCTCCTCTGGTCTGCCTCTCTCCCCTTCCAAAGACACACATGGTCATCTCAGGGGCACCACCCTGATGGCCATATCTAACTTTAGGTATTTCTCTAAGTCTCTTACTCTAAATAGCAACATCTGAACACTCGTTGCTTTTGCTGTGGGGTGTTTTGCCTGCTGAATCTAAGAAAACAAACCCAAGGTGCCTTGGGCAGTAAGGCCAAGGGTCCTCTGGGCTCCTTCTCTGAGAGAACTCACCCCAGAAAGATTCTGTGCCTACAAGGCAGAGTAACTTTAGCCTGACCACTCCCTTTGGTTGTTGCATGCTTATTCCTCGTGTACTCCCTCAACATGCCTTTAATCTTCCCACTCTCTTCCTACCAGGCTGCAGATATTCAAATGGGTTGATGCTTTGCTCTTTTCCACCAGTTTTGCTTGAGAATCTCATGGTAGATCTAACTGCAAGTAGCCGGTATGAGCGAGCCCTGGCTCAGCTTAGGTGCTGTGTTTTGAAATCTCCTCTGGCAAGTCTAGAAAGTTCTCCTAGTGACTCACTCTCCAGTTGAGTCTTCTACAAGCCTCGGGACACAGGTCCAATCAATCACCAAGTTGCTTGTGATGTTGTAACCAGTGTGATGTTGTAACCAGGTGAGGACGACCTTTTCCCAATTCCCAGTAGGGCTCCTCCTTTCCACCTGAGAGTAGTTTCTTACACTCATTTTCTGAGGCCCTGGGAAGAACATTCCAGAAGATTGCTTGGAACATACTAGGTTCCTGTTCCTCCAAAGTTCTTTCAGGCTCAACCTGTCAATCAACTGAAGACATTCCTGTGTTGTCGGGTGCTTGCTGCTAGCAATCCCCTCCACACTTGGAACATGTCTAAGTCTGTTTGGTGTTTCTAGTAGCACAATGCCATAGACAGGATGATTTTAAAGAGAGATTGATTTCGGTTCCCGGATGCAGTGGCCTAAGGCTGAAAGAGAACACCTGGCAGTAGCCTTAAGTCTGGGGAGGCTCCAAGGCAGGGAACCACAGGGCAAGGAACAGGGAGTGCAGCTGCACATCTCCTCTGGTCACCCTCTCTTTTCCTCAAGCTACTGCACCCCATCAAGGGGCTTCGAACTGGTGACCTTATCTAATCCTACTGGTCTGCCCTAGTCTACCTCTAAACACTCACCTAGCTGTGCAAATTCCTATTCTCTTAATAGCATGCCAAGGAAAATAAGCTACAACACATGTTTTGGAGGGAAAGAATCATAGCAAGTTGTATTTACCTGTCTTCCAATATAGAACCATCAATGAATGCCAAAATCTTGTGGTTAAAGAAAAAGTCACCACACAATTTAAATTGTGGTATTTGCAAAATTAGTTGAAGCCACATGCTGGTGGCCTACATCTTTATTCCCAGCACTTGGGAGGCAGAGGCAGGCAGATCTTCTCTCCAGGTTTGAGGCCAGCCTGGCTTACAGAACAAGCTAAAGGACAGCCAAGGCTACAGAGAAACCCTGCCTTGAACAAACAGACAAGCAAACAAAAATAAGGAAAAATTAGCTGAAACTAAGAAGCAAAAACGGGAGGAGGGTATTAACTCAGGACTGCAGGAATAAAATGGGAACCCTGGGAGGCCAAGTAGGACTTCCACACAGCTAAGTAGCAGGCAGAGCGTTTCAGGAATGAGAGAAATACAGGAAGGGTGCTGTGGCAGGAGCCCTGCGATGCAGTGCTGCAGTTTTACCAGAATGTATTAGAGCGAGAGGATGGGGGTTAATCTCTGCTAAGGCAATTTGCATTAAAAGTAAATAGAAATAAACCCACCCAGCTGGGTCAGAAGCGAGAACTGAATAGCTGTGGGGTCAGCATCTACTTCCCTGGTCCCTAATGGATGACATGATGTGCTTCATAAAGCACACGGCTCTCTCCTGCATCTCCTCACTTCCCTTTCTCCAACTGTCCCAGAAAGAAAGAAAGAAAGAAAGAAAGAAAGAAAGAAAGAAAGAAAGAAAGAAAGGAAGGAAGAAAGAAAGAAGGAAAGAAAGAGAAAAGACAATATTCTAGAGAGGAACCAGTGTCCCGACTTCCAAACCCACTGTGAGTCCACTGATCCTTGTATCCACAGGAATCCTATGTTGGAAAAGGGAAATGGCTGAAGCCAAAGGCCAACCAGAATGGACGCCTGTATCTAAACAAACATTTTTCTCACAGTTCTGGCAGCTTGTCGTATCACCTTTCAGCAGAAGCTAGAGCCAACACAATGATGGATCTGTGATAGAAAGGACCACGGAGACCATGACTACTCATTCATACTTCCTGCCCTCCACTTAAATCTAAACCCATGTCATGATTCTGATGGTGGACTTAGGGTCAGGGCTCAGGGTGGGGTAGCTACTGCATCTTTTTTTCTTCCTAATGTGACCGATGTATCCATGGATATATAATGTGACCTAATGGATACATCATTTTTTCTGCTTTTAGCTATGAATTGTGTCCTTTAGTTGGCCTGTTGAGGTTGGGTGGCCAGGTCTAGCTTGTTAATTAGCAGGGATTGGCTCTGACCCCCCAAAACCCAAGTTCTTCTTGTAACCTTAGACATTCTGTGTGCCAGCCTCTAAGAAAGCCTGCACTTCCTTCACAGACTGTGTCAGGTTATAGGCCTGTCTCACTTGGGTGCAAACAACAATGACAAGATGTTCAGCTGTTTCTGAGTATCTATCTGGTCTTTCAATGTCAAAGAAGATAGTTTGAAGAAGGAACAGGGTGTGAGGGTTTTGAGTTTCGCTTTCCACCCCGAGACTTAGGACAGGACCACAGGGTGTGGATGTCCTCTTAGTAAATGTAACACTATTGTGGAAATCTCAGAGATTGAGACTTTGTAACCAGAAGAAGAGGAGCAGGCAGAAACTTCCTAGTAGACAGATTCTGATGGCAACAAAGAAAGTTTCTGAGGATATTGGATACAATGTCAGAGGGATCAACGAGAGTTCAAGCCCTGATTTCAAGTCGCTTTTAAAGCTGAATGAGGATTTCACATTTCCACCTCTCCAGCATAAGCGTGACTGTGGCTGGTTGTCTGGTTGCCTGGGTACAGACACACCCCACACATTAGCTGCGGAGCCTGGAGCCCAGGAGGTTGGCCTAGGATGTGTTCACTCCCGCTGCTGCGAGGCACTTCGGGAATTGTAGTTTTTCTTCCGCTCCCTGCTTGACTACTGGGAGACTAGTGCAGCTCTGAAAGTAGCACTTGCACTTTCCAGTCTCAGGCTCGGGTCCTCCCCCGGCGGTCCGCATGCCGATGACGTCACAGAACCCCGCCCCCTGGAGGCCGAAGGGATTTAGGCGTCTACACAGGGCCTGTCATGAGGCAGTTAACAGGAGCACAGATATTCGTGAAAGCAGAACCTGGCTCTTGCTCATCTCTTCCAGGATGTGCCTAGGGCTTTCCTTTTGTGTGGCCCCGCTCCGTGCTGGCTTTTTGATCAGGCGGATCGGTGGGCAGCCATGATGGGGGCGGGGCCGGGTGGGGCGGGGACCTCGTGTGCTGTCGTCGCTTCGGGCCCTCCGGGCTGCGCCGCTCTCCAGTGCCCTAGGCTGCTTCGCTGGTCTGAGCCCTAGGCCGGCTCCACGGGGACCTCGGCGCACGCATGGACCTGCCCGCGCCCGGCGGGAAGCGGCCAGGCTGGCGGTGGCCCGGGCGGCGGAGCAGGGCCGAGGCAGCGGGCCCCTGAGCGCGCGCCCTGCAGGTCGAGCCGCAGCACCATGATGCCCGGCGAGACGCACCCAGCGGCGCCCGGGCCAGCCGACCTCGCGCGGTGTCAGGGCTGCGCCTCCCTGCAGCAGGTGCGAGGATCCGCGGCCGACCCTTTTGCGCTGTTTTGGGGGTGGGTGCCTGTGCTTTGTCTAATCCCGGATGCCAGAATTGGTTCAGCTGCTGCGATGCTGGCCGCGGACAGAGTGAGCGTGCTCTTCATGTCTCCTTCTCGCTTGCCCGACTCAGGGTTTGCAGGGCCGGAGTTGGGTTGGTGGGTGACGCTGTGTAAGCGCGGAGGGAATCTTCCTCTCTGGGATCAAGGCCTCCTCGCACTCCTAATTATTTGTTGCTTGACTGCAAGGGTTTTATGTTTTATGTTGCGTGCCCGGGTTGCTAGACTTCAAGATTTGGGAGATACATTTCAGCTTACATGTATCTATTAATATACCATTAAGCTTAGCTTTTGTTAGGTAGCATGTTAGTTGTCTGGTTAAAATATTACAATAAAGATACGTAGGTCGCGGTAGTTTGTTACAGTGGCATGCTCTGTTCTTAACAATGAATCGCTGCAGGTGGGTTCTGAGTTTTACTGATGCAATGGAAATAGCCCCCAGTGCTTCGTTCTGGAGACGCTCACAGCTTTCTGTCTTAGACTCCAGTTCAATTATTGTCAGTGGCAAAACGGAATTCGCCCTTGCCCCGGTTCAGTTTATCCACTTTCTGCCTAGTGTTCTAAGCATTGTTCACATTCTGGTAAACCAACTAGACACGGATAAGGTGAACGTGCGCAGGTACGACTCGACAGGATTTTAGATGTTGGGAAGAAAATAATGGAAGATGTCAGGGATCCTGGCGAGGTGTTTTTGAGACAGTGGGAGTTGTGAATGTTGAAAAGCAGCTCTGGATATCGGTTTTAACAAGTGGGACGTTTTCTTGATGTTTGATGAGCAAAGCCTGTGCAAGCCTTGTGGTTGGTGAGATAAAGGATGCATACCAGGTGGAAGTTTTATTTTTATTGTAAAGTCCGATGTCTCTGCGCCGATTCGTATCTTCTAGTTGTCTAGGGAGTAGGAAATGGGATGTGTGATGGCACTCTCTTATAGAGACGGTGGAGGGTCAAGGAGAGTCGAGCCATGTTGTAGCTAGACCACATTGTGTAGGCATCTTATAACCCTCCCCTCCCTTTTCAAGATTCTGAATGGCAAGCATCTATAATGGACCATATTTGTGTTTTGAGCCATTCACTCAAAAAAATTTTGACCCTCTGCTGGTTTATAAAGAGAAGAGGAAAGTTATATTAGAAGTAATGTATTGGTAAAAACAGAGGCAAAAGTAGGAGGGGAGAGTGGTTTAGGACCAGGCCTGGGACTGCTGGGATTTCGTGGTCTTTGGAAAAAGTCCTATTTGAGCAAGGTTGTAGGAGAGTGAGTTCTGTTGATTTCTTTGGAGCCAGACATCCCAGTGGATGCATTGAGGAGTTGCTTGCCTGGTGTGCTTGTGAAGACCACAAAGGCATATGAGCCTGGGATAGACTGAAGGTATAGGATTTGCCGAGGTCCTCACACACTGTTGTATGGTTTTGGGCTTCTCTGGGTGAGGTGGTGAGTCATTGTTGGTACTTGCACAAACAGCTGTGTGACCCATGCTTCTTAGTCCTCTGGAGAGCTGCATCCACACATTGCCCACCAGGAGTCCCTGTCCTGTTGAAACAGCAGTGCCATTGAGTTCTTTACTTTGCGTAGGCGAGAAATTGGTGACCATCCTGGTGCCTCCCTTCTTTGACAGCCTGCATCCAGTGCATTTGCTGGTTCTCTTGACCCTGCCCCCGCTTTTATTTCTTACCTTCACTGTGGGTAGCATTATAACCTGGGACCTAGAAGCTACTGCTTTCAGTTCCCAAGGACAGTTTGTTGTTTTCTTTTGTTTTTTTTCCCTTTCCTTCAAGCCACACTTTCACTTTGGTGAACAGTGAGTAGAGCAGAGGTTCCATTAGCTCTGTATAGACCTGGTCTGTAAACTTTCTTCCTTAAGAGGAAAGATCATAAGTAACTGTGCTTTGGGAAGTTGTTCACATCTGCTCACTTACCACTGAGGTGTGAAAGCAGCCATAGACTAGAGTAAAAGAGCTCCAGGCCTGTGTTCCCACCAAGAGGAGGGTAGCTTCTGAAAAGGCTTTGCAGGCAGTAGTGTTCTGGAGATAGCGTGGAGTTCTGTCTCTGGAACACATCTTTAATTTGCAAAGTGAGTCTGGGAAGATGGGTCCCTAGCAGCTGATAGAACATCCTAGGAGGCTTTGTGCTTATATGCTGTATGTTGAGAGATGGAAGCTTTTGTCCATTAACATCACCAAAGCAAAGTGTGTAGTAAAAGCTTAAACGTCACTGGTGGAAGGCACAAGATGAATTGATGAATGGGAGCTGTTTGACAAAAGGTAAATTATCTCACTAATGTGGCCTAGTGAGCTTTACAGCGAGGAGTTCATCAAAGCTCTAGGGAACAGAATGATAGCAGGAAAAGCCCTGAGTGTGAGAAGCAGAGCCAGGTGAAGTGTCGGAATGGTTCTCATGTCCGGGATGTGGAGCGTACCAAGATTTCAGCCTTTGAATAACCACATGAGGTGTGGTGGAAGAAGGAAAGGAAGCTGAGGTGGAAAGGTTGTTGGAAATCTGGAGCTAAAGCTTTAAAACATTAGACTTGGGAGGTTTAGCTATTTTTCAGATGTTTGTGAAGTATATTTGAATTGTCCTAATGTTCTTCCAAGGAAGTGGAAGCTAATTTTAGGTTTTATGGGCTTAGAGTTCATAGAAAGAGTCTTTTTCTGGGGCAGGGGTTAGGTAGTGTTGTCAGTCACTTGAGTTCTGACAATCTCTAGCTTAGGAAGAGAATCTGGCCGCTGGGTCTGAGCCCTTGAAGAAGAAAGCATGGAATGAAGAGAGGTGGGAAGAGATAAGGATACTTATGCAGAAACTGGTTGCTGGTCTGTTGAGGGGAGAAAGATGACTGGACATTACCACAGCAAGTGTTTGCTGTGTGTAGCTTAAACTTCTCAGGAGAGAACTTTTGGGAGGAGCCATTGCTACTTCTTGTTCCTGCAGAAGATGTCTGCATAGTATTTCCCACAGTTGCACCTGCCCTGGTGCGGGAGCTTCATTCTGACTTGGAGTTTTAGTGTAGCTGGTCCCTGTTCCGAACTGAATAGTCCTTTGCTTGCAGAACACCTTGCTGCTGGTCTGGCCCTTGTTTTCTTTAGCCTGGAGGATACAGTTGCCTTTTTATCTGCTGTGTCATAAGTGTATCTAAAGGCAGCTGTGCTTCCCAGCATCTTAAGTATCTTTTGATAGTTTCACAGAGTACTCTTGCTTGTAGTAATTTGTTACTGATCTTAGCCCAGCAGCCACATGTTCTAGAACCTCAGTAGTTACAAAAACCAATGCAGGCCTGAGTCTGTTGGTACTATGTAAATTAGGCAAATATTGAGTTACATAGTTTTAGATTAAGCCAAGGGATTGGTTGTTGGAAGTCACCTTCCTTTTGGGGAACATATGCTAATGCACTTTGCATTAGCATTGATTAGCATGTAATAGCTGCAGATAGTCCCCAGAACAGGAAACTGGTCAGAAATATTTCATTTAAAGGATCCTCAATTTGTTGTAAGGAAGCTCCAGGAGCTTAAAGTGAGAATGCTAGAGAAAAGTTGTTAGACACCTGCAGAGCGCACCCCCTCCCTTCCTAGAACTCTTGAACAGTTAACCCCACCATCCCACATTAATGTGGGTCAGTAAGACCCAGAGGGCGCTCCACCTCTCATATTCTCATATGCTGATCTCACTATTCAGGAAGTTCAGTTCCAAACAACATAAATAAACCTGGATGGGAAAACAGAAAAAAATTGTTCAGTTAGGAGCCCTGTAGTGTCCAACTGGCTATACTAGGATATTGACATGCACACAGGCCTTGGGAGTAGTACAGAAGGAGCTGAAACAGGTAACTTGGAAGGATATACTTTTTCTCGAGCTCAGTGGTTCTCAACCTTCCTAATACTGTGACCCTTTTATATAGTTCCTTATGTTGTGGTGACCCCTCCCCAACTTTAAGATTATTTTCTTTGATACTTCATAGCAGTAATTTTGCTACTGTTTTGAATCGTAATTAAAAAAACCCACATTTTACAATAATCTTAGGTGAACCCTGTGAATTGGTCATTTGACCCCCAAAGGAATCTCCACCCACAGGTTGAGAACCATTGCTCTAGGATGTTAAGCTTTGTGGTTTTACAACCCCCTTACCCCCATTTGTTTCTCTAAGGCAGAGTTATATGCGATCAGTATTGAGAGAGAAAACTCTATCTAATGTTCTATTAAGACAACCCACAGCCTTGCCCGTATCATCTTCCCAAAAGACACCATTTTTAATTGCTTTTATGTGGATAAAAGTAATGAATGAGTTTTATAATGAAAATTAGTAAATTTGTTACATATTTTTGGTTGAAGACATTTAGTCTAGATTTGTAATCTTGGAATTTGAGGGTGATGTACTAATATGGCCCCTGTTTCTGTGCCTCTCACTGCTGTATTCAGGGTGTGGTACTTCAGTTAGTGAGGCGGAGATGGTGGTCACAGGTTAACTCAGTTATATTCTGATGTATCTTATTACCTTTTATTCCTTCATTGTTTCTTCTTTGCTATGTTTGTATGTATGTATGCATGCATGAATGCATGCATGTATGTATGTATGTAGCTGGCCTGGGCTACTCAGCAACTCACTGTGTAGCTGAGTTTAGCTTCTAAACCTCCCACCACCTTTCAGTGCTGGGATTACAACCATACACCACCATGCTTGGTTTAGTAGTTGCATTTTAACTTTAGTTTTTCTTGTTATTATGGTAAAACACTTAGCAAAATCAACTTTGTTTTGGCTCATGGTTTGAGAGGGCTACAACCAATGGGGGAGAGATGGCCACAGAAGCTGAGGTATGTGCTCACTCACCCGCAGTCAGGAACCTGGGACTTGAGTGCTTGTGTTCAGTTTACTTAGAGGATCTTTATTCTATCTCCACCCCTCTGAAGTCCTATTTGTGTTCCATGGGTGGCACTCTGTTGGGAGCCACAGACTTCTCGCTGGATGTTGGAGATACACTTTCTGTCACATAAGGGAAAACTGAAGATGAGGCTTGATACTGTATCTCCCATGCCTTTCTGTTGTTTCCATGTGATTTGTCCAGAGCACTTGACGGTTTCCTCTGACACCAAAATTTGGTAACTTTCTCTTTTCTCTCACCTCTGATTGTGCTTTCTTTTCTGAGACCTTTTGCTGAGTTCTGTGGTCAGAACTTTTGAGTCTGTAATTAAACTCTTTTGTAATTTAGCTGCAACTTAATTCATGTAAAATGTGTCATCTAATGTGTACAGTTACTCAGTGGTTTATAGATCTAGCAGTTGAGTGGTTACCCACTCATTCTGAAACATTTCCACCTGCCCTTACAGGAGCCTTTCCCAGCCAGCAGTCATCCCAGTCTCCTCCTCCCTCTGTTTTCTGCCAAGTCCTCATCTATGGGCTTGCTTATTATGGACAGCTCTCAGGAATGGGTTAGTGTACAGGGTCTGCTGTGTCGTATTTAAGGGTTCATCTGGTAGTTGCATTGCTCATTGCTTTTCATTGTCAGTACTTGGTGGCTTAGCCATTCACCCTTTAATGAGCATTAAGCTTATGTTTCTGTTTTCAGTGTAAAGAGTGCTGTTGTAAATATTGCTAAGGAACTTGCCATGGGCATATGTCTCCTGTTCTTCTGAGTGTATGCCCAAGAGTGTAATGCTTAGTCTTGTGGCAACAGCCATCAACTGTGACTGGGAGTCCGTGTTCTCATTCCTGTCAGTACTAGCTCTCCTTTTCTTCTACAGACACCCTAGTGGATGGTCCTGTGTCTGATACTCTGAGTGCTCTCTGTGTCCTTTTAACTGCCATATGGCTTCTCCAGTGTGCCATCGTTTCTGTCAGTGTGTCTGTGTCTTTGAGGTTTTCTTGTCTGCTTGTCTGATTTTGTTTACTTGAAGTCTGGCTTTAGTCTCCCTTTTTTTTTTTTTCATTCATTTTAGCTCAGGTTTGGAAGTCTTTAGTGCTTCATTAAGAGCTGGGGAGGGGGCCTATGTTGTCTCCAAACTAAGTGGTATATGGTATTGTGGCTCAGTCTTTTACTGAAGAGCTAGTGCCAGCATTTAGGTCTTACCCCTTGCTCCCTGGAAGACAAAGAACTGGGATGAAAGGAAGGGCCCTTCTCAGATGAGTTTGCTCAGGTCCCCTCACCCCATGCTTTGGGTCACCATGGGTCAACACTCATGCCCCAAGTGTGTGGTCCTGTAAGACACCATGGGAAGACTGACTTCCTGCTGGATGGCAGAGAATCACTTTCCCTCACAGAATGGAAAGCTGGAGCTGGTGCCCAAGCATAGTAGTAGAAGGGTAGTACTGTCCTGGGGCCTATGGATCCTCCAGTTGTACAGGGTCTACTCTTGACACTCTTGAATATTTGCTTGGTGCAATTTGTTGTACAAATTTTGCATCTATTTATAAGTGGTATTTTTGTAAAATAAACAAGTTGTTACAGACAACAAATAAAAATTAGTTATATTTCTTCACACATATAAGACCTACTTGAGAAACATAAGAGAAACACCAGAGATGGCATTCCTGCAGGACATAGAAACTGACATGGGTTAGGAGCATCTAAGCAGGATTCTTACACAGAGGTGATCACATAAGGACAGAGATGCAGGTGCTCCCTTATATC